GGTGTGGAAAACAGGTTAATAGTTGCCAAGGATGTGGGCCAGGGGAGGTAGGTAACCATGCCTATAAAAGGATAGCATGAGTAATCTTGTGATGGCTGTGTTCCTATGAACCCACATATTGTGACAAAATGCATAGAACACACACACAAATGAGTCCATGTAAAATTGATTAAGAGGTGAATAAGGCTGGTGGATTGTTGATAAGTGCCATCGAGTCGGATCCGACCCATAGTGACTCTATACCAGGTTTCCGAGGAGCGACTGGTGAGCTTGAACCGCCGACCTTGCAGTTCAAATGGCTTTGCAGTCTGGCACATTAACCCAGTGCCACAACCCACCTATTGTGACACACAATTGTGACACAAAATTGACTAAGTGATAAAGAAGGTTGGTGGATTATGTTGTTGCTAAGAGCCATTGGATCAACTACGACTCATAATGACTCTGTAAAGACGTTTTGAGGAGCAGCTGGTAGAGTATCTTGATGTTTATTTCCTGGCTTTGATATTATACTACAATTATGTATGGTGTCCCCCATTGGGAGAAAGCAGGTTTTAAGATTAGAGAGGGGCGAGTCTCTTTAAATGCTGTTGGAAAAGAGCCAGGCTGGGGAGATGGGTTGAAGATCAAAAAGCTAGAGACAGAATTGCTGTTGATAAGTGCTGGCGAGTCGGTTCCAATGCATAGTGACCCTGTATAGGGTTTCCGAGGAGTGGGTGGTGAGCTTGAACCACTGGCCCTGTAGTTCAAACTGACTTTGCAGTCCAGCACAATAGAGAAGATCATTTGCAGGAGAGAGGGGTTGAAGAAAGGTGGGAGGCAGGAGGAAGAAAGGCAGAAAAAAACTACCATCACTAATCTTATCCATTTTTTAAATCCCAGTTTAGCTTGCCACTCCTGCCAGAAGCCACCCCTGACTCACCTGATTCTGTGCTACTCTGTTTTAGAACTTCCCACACCTCTCCTGTGAGCCTCCAGTTCTCCTCCGGAATCCCCTGCAACCCTAGTACTGGGCTTGACAAGCCCAAGGGGATTTGAAATTGTGATGAATAATTGGATTTAATCACACACGTGAGAGACTGTCTTCATTTTTCCCCTCCCTTCCTCCTAAAGGCGGCTTCTGCTGTTCCCTGCTCCTTGATCCATGTTGAACAAGCCACACTGGGATGTAGAGTGAGGAAGTGAAGGAGGGACAGATCATCTCGGTTCATCTCTGCGTAGCCCCTAAGCTTCTCCAGGACCCTCTCCATGATCAAAGGCTCTTTCTCCCTGGAACCTGAGGCCACCTGGGTTCTTTGCACAAGGTGATGTGCACCACCTGTGTATCCAGTCGGTCTGAAAACCAAACCCAGTCTTGATTCTAGACATTCCATTGTGATGGTTTCACCACAGAACCACTAAAACTCAAAATGTTTGAAGAGAAAAATTCCAGTAAGACGTAAGCAGTTTAAGGTACAAGTCTATTAAGTCAATCTAATATCATTGGGAGGGCAATTGTGGATCAATGGTTGAATATTTGCCTCCCATGCAGAAGACTTAGGTTCAATTCCCAGCCAATGCACCTCATGGCCATCCATCATCTGTCAGTGAAGACTTGTGTGTTACTTTGATGCTGAACACGTTTCAGCAAAGCATCCAGGACAAGATGGACTAAGGGCCTGATGATCAACTTCCCAAAAGAAGTCAGTGAAAACTCTATGGATCACAGCGGCTGGCTCAACAGACCTTTCGGATGGTGCAGGACCAGGAAGCATGTTTCGTTCTAGTGTGTGTGTGGAGCAGCTGCGAATCAGGCCAACTCGACTGTAATGGATGGACCAACGGCTAAAAATATTATCATTTACGTTTAGGGCTTGCCCTCTTCACCTTAAAACTACTTCTTGAAGGTAGTTATGGATGAACTGGGTCCCAAAAAAGATACATTAAAGCTCTAAGACTGTGAACATGACCTTATATGGAAATAAAATCTCAGAGGGTGTTATCAGTTAACATGTGGTCTCACCAGAGTAGGGTGGGTCTTAATCCAGTCATAGTGGAGTCCTTCTGAGAGAGACAGGAAGGACGTCACAGGACACTGCAGCTGCTCCCCAAGGAACCAGAAGCTAGGGGAGAGGCATGCAACAGAGTCTCCCTCAAAGCCTCAGAAGGAATAAACGCATAGTGGGTTATGAGTCAGGCTGCTAACCGCAAGGTCAGCAGTTCAAAACTACCAGCTACTCCACGGGAGACAGATGAAGATTTCTGTTTCCTGTAAAGATTTACAGCCTTGGAAACCGTACACAGGGTCACTATGAGTCTGAACCAACTCCATGGCACACCACGACCACCACCACCACCAGCCTCCAGAACTGACACAATAAATTGCTGTACTTATAAGTCACTCATTTTGTGGTACTTTGTTACAGCACCCCCAAGAAACTAACAGAGGCAGATCGATCCTTATGTTTCTTTCAAATCAAGGCTTCATGTCATTTCTGACTTGTCACCTTGAGAGATTTCTCACGGGTCCTGCTCCCTTAGGCTGTCCAGCCTCGTCTCCCCCTTCCCTTGGAGTTTCCTCAGGTTCAGCAGAGAGCCTCAGTCACTGAAGTCAGAGATGGCTGGGTGCTGGGGTAAGGGACCTATACCAAAGGAGGACATGGGGAGGGTCTGTTAAGCACAAGGATACCTTGAGCAGACCCCCAAGGGGATGGCAGCAGCAGAGCTGCTAGGAAGGGTATCAGAATGGTTTACTCCAGAGCAGTTGCTAGGTGCCCAGTTAGCATCTGTAAAGCTCTCTCCGGCTGCAGGGTGGAGGACTGGATTGGAGAAGCCAAAGCGAGGGTGTGCCAGGCTCTCGGGAGACCAGGGGTAGAAGACAAAAAACCCAAATCTACTTCTGTAGGGTTAATTCCAACTCAGCGATCCTACTGGGCAGCGTAGAACTGCTCCCTAGGGTCTGTAAGACTACATCTTTACAGGAGCTGACAGTTTCATCTTTCTCCTACAAAGTAGCTGGTGGGGTTGAACTGCTGAACTTGCAGTGAACAGCCCTGTGCTTATCCCAGAACACCCGCAGGGCTCTTTAGAGGCAGAATGGGCCTGGACTGGGTGGGAGGAGGTGGACTTTAGAGGTTCAGAAGGAAGTGATAGAATCTCTGTAGAGGGGTGAGGGGCCTAGGTGTGGTGTCCAGGAAGCTGGGGTGCTGCTGGGGACGCCCCTTGTTCTAGATAGGCTGGCAGGTACCCAGGAGGTATTTTGGTAGCAGTCTTTACTTGATTAGCAAATCTATTATGAAAATGACCCAAATGCCAGATTTTTCTTCACAAAATAGAAAGTGGGGAGAAGAAACAAGAACAAAAAGCAGGTGGCCTCTTGCTTTCAGGAGGAATTTTTTTTTTTTTTTTTAATTAGGACTAACTTTAAGGCCTTAAATTCACATACGTTATCCACACTGTTACATTTCAAATAGGAAAGAGGTATCAATCAGCTCATTAGGTCTGAAGTGATTTAACAAGACATTACTAAAACTGTATATAAAAATAACTCTCGTTACATCCTTTAGGTGCCAGTTGAGGACTGAGGGCCGTGACACCTGCCGCCATCCGGGGCCGACTGTCCTCTGTGTGCCCATTACTGTCTTGAGGCTTCGGGGACCCTGCAGCTGTAGGCACCTTTCCCTGGAGCTGCAGCTCATGTCATGGTTTGGCACGTATTTTTCTTTCACTTTTGCATTTACACATCCAGGGAGCTGTCGTCCCACTGCCGCTAGGAGAAAAAGAGGCTGAAGCTGCCTGCAAGAGCAGCTCAGCTCCCGACACCCCAGCCCCAGGATCACTGTTCAAGGCTGAGAACTTGGGGTTCTTCAAAGGGAAACCGTCCCCTGCCTCAAGGGCCCTCACTGTCAGACTGTCTTGGAAATGGTACCTGTGACTTGCTCCTCACTAGGAGCCTAGCTCAGTGGCTGGAAGTCACTCGAGGTGGCTTCAGTCCAAGATTTTATTGCTGGTGAATTCAATTGCCCAATGTTTAGCCATTTAGTCCAAGAGGATGGCACTGTAAGAAATGGGTCCGGTGGTGTGTATTTGGCTGAGATGACAGGAGACTGAAATGTGTAAACTGCACTGAATTCTGCCATGTTGGCACAATACCAGTGATTGCCTTCAGCCCCAGGGCAGGGGTTCCTGCAAGAGAGTTTGGGAGAACTCCCCTGCTGCCCCGTCCACACTGGGACTGGCCAAGATGAGAGGCTGCACAATAGTCAGAACTGATGTGCCCAAATCCACAGCGGGCTGCAGCCTCCAGAACCAGTCAGGCCTTTGTGTCATCATGTCATATTCTCTTGAAGGTCCCTGAAGATGTTCCCTTTCTCAGGTGGAGACGTTACACACTACCCTCATTTTCCCAAACTGTATCTCTTGGGCTGAAGGAGGTAACTGCTTGGTACGTAGAGGCTCAGAAATCTGAACTAGCATTATACAGGTGTGAATTCTAGGCAATGTACTGCCTGAAATTGGCCTTTGGTCATTACTGAAATTCAGACGAAAAACACAATCATATGGAAATGTCATTGTAGCAGTGCCCAAATGAAAACCCGAGGTATAATTCTAAGACTAAAATTTGATCCCTCTGTTCACCCCTGCAATCCTTGTAGTCCTTTAACTTCTCCATTCCTCCTGGAAGTGCCAGTGCAGTTGCTGCATTCCACCTGTGATGGACAAGGCCCCCTGATCGGCAAAGGATGGTTACAGGGCGAGCCCATCTCGCTGACAACTGAGTGAAGTGACCCCTCGTGCTGCCAGTTTTCCTCCCAGGTGGTCAGGCTGCATGTTTTTCGTCTTCTTCTTCCTCTGAGGAAAGCAAAGGTACAGCTTCCTAGTTACATGAGTAGAGCTGGGGTGGGGGCCCTTCCGTGCACTTTATGCCCAAACTAAGTGATAACAGCCAGGGCCCCACTTCCTACGGAGGGCGCTAACAAGTGCATGGGAGACACTGTGGGTGTCCTGAGGAGGACGTTGCTGAGGACGTGTTATTTCTGTGCTCAGATCTCCACCTGGTTAGCCCTGGTCTAACAAAGATATTTGAATTCACAGGTCCTAGGCATTAGTTTAGCAAGAAATCTGGTTTTGGATACCCAAAGAGCTTAAAGTCCCCTTCAAAACGTGCATACAGGCGCCGGATGTCCCGTTTGCTTATGCCCAGGAAGTAGTGCTTCACCTTGGTTTTATTATACACGGTAATGCCCGGAGGGATGGTTGGGTAGGACACAAGATGGTCTATCCCAGCTTCTTTTAAGATATACGGAGCATCGTCCTCCAGCGTCTCGTGGTGCCCAATCACACTGTATTTGATCTCGCAGGGTGCGCACAGTTCTACATAGGTCACCCAGTGGATGATGTGGTCCCCAAACTGGAGATCCAACCATCTGTGGTTTGGATCTCCCAGATAACGCACAAAATCCTCAAACTGGATCCCCCGCGTCTCTGTGCGGTTCCTCCTGTATTTCCTGATGATGCCAGGGGCAATCTCATGCCTATACCAAGGTTCAAACCGAGGATTGTGGACAAACTTGTCCTTGAATGCAGAAATAAGTCTTTCAAAGGGATCTCTTACAATAAAAAACTTGAAGTACGTTTTCAATCTAAGAATAAAAAACACACACACAAATAAGGAGTTAACAAGACGCTGCTGGTGGAAGTGGCTGGGGGTGGGGTGGGGGAACCTATGAGGAAAGGAAGCAGCAGCAGCCATTTCTTGCATCCTAACTGGGTGCTAATTGCTGCACTAAATGCTTTACCTGTATCCATCCACTCAACAAGCCGAGGGGGTAGGTCCTGTTATTAACCCATTTTATAGGTAAAAAAACAGATGTGGAAATCTGAACTTGTCCAGGGCCACAGGAGCCATCTTTGGGGGCAGCCACTCTGAAGAACTCTATTTAACCTTAAATCTCTTGTTTACTTGAATATTTCAAAACACTGAGAATGTGTAAAAGCTTTGTTTCTGTGGAGAAAATTGCAAGGGAAGGTGCTCTGAATGAGTAAGGAACAGCTGAGGACAGAATTGCCAGAGGAAGCGGGAGGAGAAAAACAGAGAGAGGGGCTTCAGGTTCCAGCTGGTGGGGAATCTGGCCTAAGTGACTTCCCAGGAGTGAGAGATGCAGAGCAGTGGTAGTGGTCATGCTGACGGTTAACCACAGCAAGGCCACTCTGATTCATGGAGGCTTACTGTGTACCAGAAGGAGCTCTGGTAGCGTAGTGGTTACGAATCGGGCTGCGAACCTTAAGGTCGGCAGTTCAAAACTACCAGCTGTTCTGCAGGAGAAAGATGAGGCTTTCTGCTTCCGTAAAGATTTACAGCCTTGGAAACCCTGTATAGGGTCACTATGAGTCGGAACTGACTCCATGGCACATAACCAATCAACTAACTGCGTTGTAGAAACCACTGTACATGTCTTAGTTAACTCATTGTCACAAAACCCCCTGGAGGTTTAAGTGCTTAGGGGGATAAGGACCATCCTTTCCCAGGAGAGTCTCAGTCTGATATTTAATACCTACATTTGAAAGGTTCTGTAGAAGTTGGGAGGACTGAATTAACTGGAGTCAGAAGCAATGACAAGCCAATGGTTGAAGATCAAGTGTGGTCAAAGTTTAGTGGGGGACTTAATATTTACTTGCTGCTGCTGCTGCTGCTGCTGTTATTGTTGTTGTTAAGTGCTGTTAGGGCTTCCCAGGAGAAGGCTGGTGAGTTTGAACCACCGACCTTGAAGTTCTAACTGACCTCGCAGTCTAGTGCTCATCCTACAGCGCCACACCAGGACTCCAGGTGTTAATGCATGCTTATTTCTTTTCAATCTTGCTCTACTTTTCAATTCACTAGCTGAGTCATTAAAGAAATTCATTAGTTAAATAATTTTTAAATAAAAGAAAATAAAGCAGAGCCAAAGTAACCACTTGGTTCTATTAATTATTGTTGTTGTTCTTCTTAAGTGCAAAGTCAGTTCCGACTCAGCGACCCTGCACAGGGTTTCCTAGGAGCAACTGATGGGTTTGAACTGCTGACCTTGCAGTTAGCAGTCTAGTACTTAATTCCATTTTAATGGACTGTGGAAAGGTAGGTCTGAAGGAGGTGTTCTGGCATTCTTACAGGGACTTGGGAATTTAAATGCACTGACACTGGACATATTCTCAGCTGCTTCTCACCCCTACAGATGTGCAGACCAATGGACCTCAGGGATCCTAGGACTGATATGGGAAACCGAGCAAGTATAGAGCTCAGCCGTGGGTTTTACCAAAATATCTTCCATGATTTTCAGAGCACCCTCGCCCTCTGTGGAGTCCTGGTGTGGTGCTGTAGGATAAGCACACTGGACCGCTAACCAAGAGGTTGGTGGTTCAAATCCACCAGCTGCTCCTTGGAAATTCTATACTCATGGGGTCACTATGAGTTAGAACTGACACAAACACACTTAACAACAACTCCTCTTTGTGGGGCCTGCTCTTACCGCTTCTGAATCTCTGCATCACTGAAGGAAGACAGACGGGGGAGGCCATTCTTCTCATGGTCATGGACAACATTTTCAGGGATCTCTTCGATGGAAGGAAATGCTCCTGGGAAATAAAAAGAGAAGGTTAACAACCTCTCTTAAAGAACGTCTCTTTGAACAAGCAGGCATTACGAGCCCACCATCAGCAACCACCTTCAGGTGTTACAGAGCCAGCTGCTGCTTCTGGCAGGATACAATGATGAAGGAAAGCTTTTGGTGATCCATAAGCCCATGAGAAGAGGTGAATGAGTTCAGGGGACAAGAAGAGTGACGGAATAAGGGTTAGAAGTCTTGGCAAAAACTGTGCCTGGCAATGCACCTAAACTAGGTAGGTCCGCCATTAAAGAAAGATCACTGCATACAAGCTGAATGTCTAAAATCAGGCCTGCTATCCTACTCAGAGGGCCAGGACAGCTAGCCATCCTGCTTACTGCCCACAGGCACCACTATGGTCACTATCACTACTATCAGGCTGAAAAGTCTGCTGGAAACCCCATTCCCTCAGCCTGGAACACTTCTGAGCCAGCCTCATGGCATCCCACACTGGCAAGCAGCAAGGGCTTTTGAGGCCAGAAAACCTGGCTAGTGGTCTGGGAGCTCTCTGAGACAAGGAGCCTCTGAAGAGAAAGTAGGTCTGTATACAAAGCCATGGTCTGTTCACCAAAGGCAAAGCTGCTGACAGGAGCATGGGTGCTATCCAACCTATGACTTGTCTGGTTGGGTAGGTTTTCCACTCTCTCTTGAGCTTACATCAATGGAAATAAATTGGAGAAGGCTTTAGCCAAGCCTCTGCAAATCATACCATCTATCTTTGTATTGATCCTATTGTATTTAAGTTTGTAGTTCAGCCAAGGCAAAATCTCTGCTTGGCTACTTAAACAGTGGTCACATCCTTGTCTCTTTTATTCTTTCCTTCTGAAAATCTTTCTTAACCATCAATACTCTTCACTTATCAACTATCTCACTATACAACATTTCATCTTTATGACAATAGTAAAAAATCTATTCTCCAATGATTTTGCACATAAACAACAGGTCTGGCAGTAACCAATGCCGAACTGTGAGGCAAAAAGGTTAGATGGCACTGAGAATCAACACGTGATTCTTAATGGTTTGGCAGTTATGTAATGATGCAGTCATCCTCCATTTTAGCATAATGCCACCGATTTTCGCCTAACGACAAGGTCTTTGAAACCTAACCATGTTGATTAGTGAGGAATGTAAGTGATGTGGGGCGGCTGTACAAACAATGTGAGGTGAAATGTTCGCTCTCAAAGGAATTTTAGAAGCACACGTTGTAAGGATTTGCATTAGACTGCATGGGTGCATCTAAGAACAGTGAGGACAGCCACAAGGACCAGCCCTTCTTCGGTTACATAACTCAGCATTGAATGGGCGCTTACTTCTTCCTTAAAGCATGATGCTCTACAATGCAGTGTTGATTTGTGAGACACTTTCATATATTTCTAGTCTTAAACTTGATTTGTAACCTTATTTTCCAATTAAAAATAAACTAACACACTAACAGATTCCCCAAGAAGGCTCTAACGCAGGGGTGGGAACCTTTTTCTGACAAGGCCCATTTGGATATTTATAACATCATTCACAAGTCACACAAAATTATCAAATTAGTCTGCTCTCATGTGATGGCATCCTGATGTGACGCTGTGGGCTAATGTGCTGGACTGCAAAGTTGGTTTGAACCACAAGGTCAGCAGTTCAAGCTTGCCACGTGCTCCTCGGAAACCCTATAGAGAGTAGCTATGGGTCTGAACAGAGTCGGCAGCATCTTAACAACAACAACATGATGACTGGAACAGCAGCTGCCTTGGCAGGGCCAGACCAAACCATTCGCTGGCCTATGGCCAATCCACACCCCTGCTCTAATGAGTGTTATTTAGAAATCTGATGACCTTAAGATGAATTATCTCTCTTTTCTCCCTCAAGCAATATGTGAGAAGGCCACATGACAGCAAACACTGACCACCAACTTTGAAAACAAAACCAACAATGGTGCCTGGAGGGCAGAGAGCCAAAGGGTCTCCAGATCCTTGATTCACATGGCTGTCAAATTGACCTGTGGTCCTTTGAAGCAGAATGTAATGGACAGATGCCCTAATTATACTGGATTGGTTGAGAATTGACCAATGAGTAATCAAAAAGCGTCATGCATGAGGCCACTTTCCAGTAGTATCATCTGTTCCTCAGTCAAGAGCAAGCAGATAAAAGCTCTAAGTCGATGAGGGGGCTTCAAAAAGTTTGTGGGAAAATTCCATCCTCTTTTGATTCCATTTTTCCATGAACTTTTGGAAGCCCTGCCCTTGACAATGCTTACTGTAAAATGGGACAATGTCTTTCTACCCATCTGGGATTAATCTAAAGATGAAGAACTGTGCTGGCTATGGTGGAGACCCAGGCCCAGATGGCAGGCCACGTGAGGACCAGCTTCTGGGTGGCTCAGTGAGTCTGGCCATGGCTAACAGAGGTCAGAACTAGAGAACAGTATGATTCAGTACAGTGAATTTGATGAGAAGAAAAGGGTTCAGTGCAGGTGGGAAAAGGTGCCCGAGATGAGGATCCCAATTTGGAAAAGGAGCAGACTCTGCCCGGGGCTGTGCTACGCCTTTCAAAAACAATCAGTATCTAAGTTACTTTCATCAACTTTTAAAGAGCAGCAAGAGAAGAAGAAGAAAAAAACAAATAAGGGCTGTTACCAGCCCTTTCAGAGACTCCATCATCCCTTTCTTGGGCTCCACTGCCATCTTCCGTCTCTACCCCACCAGCTCCTGCCCAGACAGACAGACATGCATGCACCAGACATGGCACGCACCATTCAAAACGATCAGCACTTTCTTCCACTGAGTGTTGCCCACTTTGGGAGTCTGGCAGAAGAGAATCTTGTGCTTGTCACAAACAAAGATTCGGTCCAGGACAAACTTGGAGACAGCTGTGTGGGAGAGATTCTTCAGTGCTTCATCTCTGCAGACATTCCGGATGAGTTCCAGGCGCTCCATGTAGACCAGGGGCTGAACAAACCGGCTCTCGGAAAGCTCTTTTCCAGTTGGCTAGAAGCAAAACAGACACGAGGGCTTTGTTACTAGAAAGTGGCCTGGAGCTCCTGCTCCCCATCACCTCCTGGGCTTATCACTGGGCCATCATCATATAAATGCTTCCCCAACGGGGCCTTGGGAGTTAGATTAAGAGAGACAGCTTGGACAATGGATAAGGGCTATTTGTCTATTACTTTACCAGGACATTATAGCACCTAATTGCCGGTAAACAAGAAGACTTCATTCAGGGATTTTAGTCAAGGCGAGTTTGGCTCCCATTTATTCTCTTCAGCATTTCTCTTCACATAATTCTGTTTACATATGTAGATCATACTGAAAGTCACCAGTTGTCTATATAAACCCAAAAAACTCACTGCCATGGAGTTCATTCTGATGTATAGTAACCCTAAATAACGAAGTGGAACTGCTCCATTGGGTTTCTGAGACTAAGTCTTCACAGGGTCTTTTCCTCCTTGTCTGCCTCAGCGCCTGCTTCCAGCATGAATGACATAGTAACTATCCAGACCAGGAAGTTCATAACCAACCAACTACTTCACCCTGGGTACCTAAGACACAAATTCGGGGGAAACTAGCCAAAACGTCTAGGACAACATCAAATGTCATCTTTGTGTTTGGATTCAGAACTCTTTTTGGTGGTACCAAGGCTACTGGCTTTAGCATGATTTATGATTCCTTGGATTATGCAAAGAGAAATGAACCCAAATGCAGATTTGCAAGACATGCAAGGCCTGCATGAGTAGAAAAAGAGTTCAAGAGAGCAGTGCAAGGAATGCAGGCCAGAATGAAAAAGTCAGAGGGAATGCAAAGGCCAATGCTGGTGCTGACAAAAGTGCATGAGAGCTTGGATAACAGCAGAGAGAGATTCTGCTGTGACTCCATCTGTGATGATTGTGTGGATTTTTCACCAGAGGATTAACAAACCATAAAATCAGTTTTTAAAAAAAGCGAAAAAACAACAACAACAAAACATTACTGGAGCAGACAGCCTCAGCTTTTTCCTGCAGAGCGGCTAGTAGGATTGAACCTACTGACCTTCTGGTAGCAGCCCATGCTTAATCCACTGTCATCAGGGTCCATCATTGTCTATGAGTAGGGGGTTTATTTTGGAGATATTCTGGCATACAGGGCAATTCCCATTACAATAAATCTCTCTCTGACAAATGGTTTTTCTTAATCCTAGTTGCTGGCCTACAGGTTTAAGACACAACTAATACAATAAAATACGAGGCACACGAGCAAAAGCCAAAAAATGGAGTTTGCTCTGTATTTCAATGCCCATCATGAGCAAAAATGTATACCACCTAGAATGCCATAGGTAAAAGTTTGGGTTGTTTTTAGGTTGTTTTTTAAAATACGTATGTTCTTGGCATATCTGCATTTGAGCAGCTGACATGAATAAAATAAGGTGGTCCTGTTGGACTCCTGGTGTGGTACTGTGGATTAATGCGCTGGACTGCAAGGTCAGTTTGAATTGCAAGGTTGGTTGTTCAAGCTCACCAGCCGCACCTTGGAAAGCCTATACAGGGTTGCTATGGGTCAGAAGCGACTCTACAATACTTAGCAACAACAGCAACAACAAATTAGGATAAAGCACTGGACCACAAGATTGGTTTGAACCACGGGATCAGCAGTTCAAACTCACCAGCCATTCCTTTACAGGGTGCATTTCTATGAGTGGGAACCGACTCAACAGCACTTAACATTTCCAGAGCATTTGATGGCTGCCATCCTGTGATCAGCACTTCATTATTTACAACAACATGCTTTCAAGGAAGGGTCTGCAGTCCTGAAGTGAACTGGATAGGCTGCTGTAGAACACAAGAGCTTTGTCCAATGAACACACACTATTTCCTAAGGTAAGGAGCTCTGGTAGCATAGTGGTTATGAATCGGGCTGTGAACCTTAAGGTCAGCGGTTCGAAACTACCAGCCGCTCCGCGGGAGAAAGATGAGGCTTTCTACTCCCGTAAAGATTTACACCCTCGGAAACCCTGTACAGGGTCGCTATGGGTAGGAAGCGACTCGACAGCACTTAACAACAAAACAACATTTCCCAAGGTGCTTGGCATGTGCACAGTCTTGTAAGCAGTAGGGTTCAATAAAAGTCTGATTGTTAATGATGACAATGATTAGGAAAAAAACCCTTAAATCTCTTGTAATGTCTCCATAAGCTTTACATGTTTGAGCTATTTTGTTATAGTTTTTAAAATTATTAAACTCATAGGGGGAAAAACCCCCAACAGTATAGAAAGGTATATATAGATTTTAGATGTTAAACTATCCTGTGGCATACTTGTCCCCCAAACTCCTGTTCCCATAATCTTTCAATTAGGTTCTGTGATTATTCTGAGTTAACTATGCTTAATAATGGTACCCAGGTGACTCCACAGGATAGACACTGGACTGTGAACCAGAAGGTTGGTGACTGGATCCCACCAGTCACTCTGACGGGGAAAGATAAGGCTTTCTATTTCACAAAAAAGATTGAACATCTCAGAAATCCTGTTAACAACAATGCTTAATTATTAAGCGATCCTGTACAGGGTGTCCGAGGAGTGGCTGGTGGGTTTGAACTTCCACCATGCAGTTCAAATCGACCTTGCAGTCCAGTGCTTACCCTAGAGTGCCACACCAGGATTCCAATTTGTAGGTAAATTATCCCAAATACACAGTAAAGGTTAAGTATAAAGGAACATATCACAATGTTAGCACTGATTCTGTGGATGATTTGTATTTGCCCTGGACTTTCATTTTTAAAACATATTTTTTAGAAAAAGTACTCCATGGCACTTAACAACAACGACACAATACATACAGATTATTTTTATAGTCAAAAATATATTTTTTAAAATATATATTACAAATTACTGTTAAGTACCATCAAGTCCAACTCACTGCAGCCTTGTGTATGGTTTCCCAGAAGTTGGTGGGTTTGAACCACTGGCCTTGCAGTTAGCAGTCCAGTACCACCAGGACTCTATATATTATATATATGCATTGCAAACAAGCTAAGCATACTCAGTGTATAATAACGGATTGAACATTAATGATTTATCCTCCTCAATGAATGTCTTTTTAAAAGGAAATATAATGGTCAGAGGGCAAAGCTACAGCCAGACCAGCACAGGGAACCGGCGCTAAAAGTGGTGCAGTGACATTTGCAAAAGGAGGTGTGGGGGATTCTACACATTTTTTCCTTCTCTTCCCTGTTGTGCATTCTTTGCCCAGCCCGGACGCTTTCAGGCAGCTGGGTGCACTCCCCCAACCCCACCCCCACCAAAAAAAAAAATTCAACGCTGAGCCCAGTTTTCCCATGGCACAGAGAAAAAGAGTTAGGCAGCTGTATATGACGTCAGCCTAGGGGGTCTCAGCCCTAAAATTAACTTGTGCAGGACCCTTTACTCTGGCCTATCTAGCAAGAAATAAGCAGGCTCATCAGGCCAGACAGACAAACCATAGAACAATCTGTAAAACCCCAATATAAAAGGATGCAACTATCTTAAGAATTACGCTGTGCACACGCAGATACCTACCTGACCTTCAGAAACAAAAATAGTAGACAATCTTTCTCCCATTAACTTCTCAATATCTATCTGCGCACCTCTATGGTGGTGACTAGAGGTGGTGCCTGAGTGAACGGACCCCCCAACCCCTTCTGGAGGCTTCTATGGTGCACATGCACTGCCTGTGTAGGAAGGCGACTGGACAGTTGGACACAGTTTATTTTTGTTTCAAAGTGGTGGTTTTTGTCTCTGCTTTTATATTGCTTCTGGGTTTGGTCCTATTGATCACATTTTTCCTGGATATGGAAGCTTTTTCTCCCTATATTACCCAAGAAGAGGCAGCAATTGTGGCCATATAGACAAGCTACAAGCATACCCCATAATATTTCACCACTGAGACAAAAGCCACTAACAGCTGCTAAGCATTACATGTGAAAAGGGAAGCCTATCTCCTGATCATATCCACCAGGAGACACCCAGTAAGCTTAATAACACAACAACAAACATCCATTTAAGCACTAAAAAACCCACATAGCCACTGGAAATGACAAACAAAAAACAACAAAAGATCTCAAAACTTACCCAAAACAGAAAAGACTAACTGAGACAAATGAGCTGGAGACAGACAAAGGCGCCCCAGAAGAGGAAGAGCAGGTTTTGGATTTTCCTGACAAGGAATTCAGAAGAATGATATGGAAACAAATTCAAATGCTACAAAAAGGGGTGGAGGAAAACAAGGAAGAAGTCAGGAAAGTACTGCAAGAGCAATCAAACAAAAATGGATACAGCATTGGAAACAATTCAAAACCTGCAAAAAGAGGTCTAGATGATTAATAATAAAATATCAGAAATGGACAATACACTGAAAGAGGAAAGGAGCAGAATAGAAGAGATGGAAGCCAGAA